TTTTGCCATTTAATCTCACACCAGACCCAGTATGACGGTCACTTTGTGCCTGATGTGCGAGTCTTGACTGTGCTAGCGCACACTGCGCCTTGAAGAGCATTCACCATTGTTTGTCCTTTCTTTGGTTGTTGGTCTTTAGACGCATGTTCCCATACCAAAATCTTTACATACTTTGGGATTCACCTCATCAGACTGGCACTGTCCTTGGCATGATTTTGAATGAGACGTTTCTCTCTTTTCTCCCATATTCTCCTGTTACTCTTTCGCATTCATCGCTTGCATTCACTTTTTATGTTTGTGACCATGCTCTTCAAAAATAAATGATAATTCATTTGAACCTTAAGACACCAAATATATTTCACAATTGCATCGGTTTTCCGGAGCAGCTGTTCGTTCTTCTAACGTTTGGAGGATACGGGTGGGTTGTGCAGCAAACATAGGGATTCTCCAGGGAGAATTGTTCATTGCATGCTGTGGAGGACGATGCGTCGTCTGCAGCATCAGATGATCGGAGGTGGCAGAGATGGGCGGGGAATGGCACTCACTCAGCATATTCATGTTGAATGAGATTCACGGGTACGTTCGTAGTGGGAGCCTCCGAATTTTAGTGGAACACGGGGTGGGGAAATCTCCAAGAAATTTGCGTAGGATGGGGTGCGCGGTAGCATTAATTTTTTTCGCAGAAAGGGTAATGGACAGAGAGGGGTTGCGCCTCTTGATGTTTCTGAATGAAAAGTTTTCACAACTTGCACAATAGTCCTACTTGCTCCGGAAAAAGTTGCAATTCATCTGGACGGTCACATCGGAGGTGTCTAGGTCCGATGTATGTTAGAAAATTTTCGTGCGCACTTGCTTTAAACAGCACACTCACCGTAAGCCTGAAAGAATTTGCCTGAAGTCGCATGACCCTATCGTAATCATCGTCACCACTGTAGTGGGGGTCGATGACTTAGTTAATCTCGCATGACCGTAATCATCGTCACCACTGTAGTGGGGGTCGATGACTTAGTTAATCGATTATTGATCCGTTGAGTAGAATGAGAAGGTTTGGTTTCGGGATAGGCTTTCTTCAACATACAAGCACAGTATAGGCTGAAATGACAAGTGAAAGTGAATTAATGGAAATAGCAGTAAAGCGTAACTTTCACTACATTCACTCCGGCAGGCAAAATGTCAGTTGAACCTAACAGAAATGTGTTGTTGGTAACAGAAAATGAACGTAGTGCGGATGAGCAATTGAAAATGGTTAAAGTAATTTTTAGTATTTTGAGGGTCTGAATGGAACACTGAAATAGCGTTTCGTCGTGGACGCAAGAAAGTTTGTAACACCTGACCTAGACTTCGCGGCTACGTAAATTGTAGGGACGAGTGCGTTGCTGTTGCATCAGAAGATTCTGAGCATTTTCTGATATGCTCGTTTTCGGTCTGTTTCGAATCTCTGGTGATATTCCAGCATTTCCTTCACTGTTGTTATCATCCGATAACATTTGAGACTCGAGCTGAACATTTTCTGATCCCCTATCGCCACCTGCGGGTGCGAGTTGACGGATGGAAACTGTTTGGTCCCTACCGTCTTTGAGCCGAATATGGGCATACTCGGGATTGCATTCTAGTAACGTCGCTTCTTCCACAATTGGGTCATATTTTGATGTGCGGTCAAACGACTTCACAAGGACAGGACCTGGTGATGTTAGCCAGCTAGGCAGAGATGGTCCGTACGATGATCGACGCTCGTGAACAAACATTCTCTCATGTGGCGTTGAATTAGTAGCCGTACAGAGTAACGACCGAATGGCATGCAGAGCATCGATGAGCATATGTTCCCAATGTCCAACGTCGAGATTACGAGATGTTAGACCGAGTGTGATAGCTTTCCAAAGCGTTCCGTTTAGCCGTTCCACTTGTCCGTTGCCCTGGGGGTTATAGGGAGTGGTTCTGCTGGTAGCTATATGCCTGCTATGCAGAAATTCTTTGAGTTCGACGGACATGAATGAAGGGCCTCGGTCCGAGTGAATATAGGCTGGCATACCGAATATTGAAAACAGTTGACATAAACAACTGATGAGTGTCGATGCTTTCATATCCGGACAAGCGAAAGCAAATGGGAATCGCGAATACTCATCTATGATCGTTAGCAGATATTTGTTACGAGTAACCGAAGGTAAAGGTCCTTTAAAGTCGATGTTCAGGCGTTCAAACGGCCGGGTAGCCTTTATTAGTTTTCCCTGTATATGACGATGAAACCGAGGTTTTATTTGCGCACATACCCTGCACTGTGCGCCAACGGCCCTAACTTCGTTCAACGAATATGGGAGATTTTTCGATCTGACAAAGTGAAACATTCTTCGGACTCCGGGGTGGCATAACGAGGTATGTATGGTCAGCAGTTCGGAAGAATTAGACACGGAGCTACAAAACTGGCGGGATAGTGCGTCGGCAGCTTGATTCTCTTTGCCCGGACGATAAACGACATCATAACTGAAGGGAGAAAGTTCGATGCGCCACCGTAGTACCTTATCATTTTTAACTTTACCTTTATGGTTAGTATCATACATAAAGGCAACAGATCGTTGATCCGTTATCAACTTGAAGTGATTACCAATGAGGTAATGTCGCCATTTTCGTATAGATTCAACTACTGCATACGCCTCCTTTTCAACAGCGGAATGGCGTTGCTCAGATGGAGACAGTGTTCTGGAGAAAAAGGCCACTGGTCTTCCGTTTTGATTTAGGGTGGCTGCGATTGCCACATCAGACGCATCTGTCTCGACTACCAACGGTTGTGTGTAGTCGATAGAAACAACCAGGGCGTTAGCCAGTTCCGATTTCAGTACATGAAACGCCGTTTTCACCGATTCAGGTAGAGGAAATATTTGGTTGTGCACGAGTGGATAAATTTTATCAGAAAAATGTGATATCCAGTGCGAATAGTATGAAAACAACCCGATCGCTCGCTGTTGGGATTTTTGGTTACTGGGTAGCGGAAGATTGCGGAGTGGTTGCAATCTATCGGGGTCTGGTTTGATAGTACCTTTAGATACTTCATAACCTAACAACCGTACAGTTCTTGTACAGATTGTACTCTTTGCTTCATTGAAAATGAGTCCGAAACGCCGCGCCACTTCTTTGAACTTGGCTAAATTAGCATCATGTTCTTCCATAGACTTACCACATATAGTGACATTGTCTATATATGCAAAAGTGTCAGCCAGTTTCTCTTTGGCAATGATTTCATTAATTGTGCGTTGGAAACAAGCAACGCCGTTCGTCACACCGAAGGGTATCCGACAAAATTGGTACAAATTGCCATCAGCCTCGAAAGCAGTATATTTACGTTCGTCGGCGCGGATAGGAATTTGATGATAGGCACTGCGTAGGTCGAGTGTGCTGTATAATTCATAACAAGCGATCTTTTCTATCATTTCATCGATGCGTGGGAGTGGATACGCGTCCAGATACGTATAACGGTTAATTGTTTGACTATAATCAACCACCATTCGTTTCTTGTGACGCTCGTTGGTTGTGACCAAGACTTGAGCGCGCCATGGTGACGTTGATGGCTCTATAACTCCATCACGCAACAGGGTATTTATTTCCTTGCGAATAAAAAGTTGATCAGGAAAAGACTGACGTCTGGTTTTTGTCGCGACAGGTTTACACATTGGTGATAGATTCTGGAACAAAGTCGGTTCAGGAACCTTAGCAGCTGTCAAATTGCAAAGGGAAACAGGTGGTCGGGAACCGCCGAATGGTATTTCTAATCCCTCGTGCAGGTTGAGGAAGTCGTGACCGAGCAACACATCAGCACATAGATGCGGCAGAACGGATAGCCTGACATTTTTGTAATCGAAGTCTTTTAGCTGTAGGTGCACCAGACAATGTCCAAGGGTATCACTCACAAAAGATGTGTTAGCCATAGAGATTTTGCTTCTTGATTCAAGTACTCGCCAGCTATACTTATTGACGACTGATGCTGAGATATAACTCTCAGAACTACCAGTATCGACTAGGGCTTGGAGACGGACACCGTTAACATGAACATGGCTAATCGCTCGTTGTAGGCATACGGGAGCAGACGCAACAGTAAGCGCCGACAACAAAGATTGAGTAGTCGCCGTCTGTGGCTTGATTTTCTGTTTGGAACGACAAACTGACTGAAAGTGACCCTTTTTACCACACAGCTTGCATATGGCATCTCTGGCGGGACAGGCTGTTCGCGGATGTCGGCTATAGCCACAAAAGAAACATTTATTAGTTACCGCAGAAACCAGGATTGTATCTTCTGACTGGGCTGTATCTTGAATTAAGCCACTTTGTGGAGCAGCGTTGCAAGGGTTGGATGAGATGGGTACTTGATACGACAATGCCTGTTTGTATGCCGATTCTAATGCTTTAGATTTTTCTACGGTTTCACGTAGCGTCAACGTATGGTGCTCCAACAACCTCTGGCGGATTTGAGTAGACTGAATGCCCGATATAAATGCGTCCCTGATAGCTTCGTCACGACGTACATCGCCTATCACACTTTGATAATTACAATCAACAGCTAACGTCCGTAACTTTTGCACATACTGATCGAGTGTTTGCTCATTGTCTTGTTTGCATGTGTGAAGAACGTGTCGAGCGAAAATTTCGCTTTTGGTGGGGGCATAGATTGAACAAAGGGTATCGACAGGTTCTTTGAAAGTGGTGCACTCAGAAACGGATTTATAGACAGAAGGAGAAAGATAATTGATCAAAAGTTCCAGTTTGTCCGGATTATGCGTCTCAATACAAGATAAAAAGTGGGAGAATGTACGGTACCAGTGAGTCCATTGGTCGGTTGCATCAGGAGCGTATGGATCCGCGTCAAATCTGGCTGGTTGGGCAAAGCATTCCATGGATGAGAAATAATATGTTGAATAAATTGTAGTGGGAGTCGATGCCTTAGTTAATCGATTATTGATCCGTTGGGTAGAATGAGAAGACTTCGCCTAAGGATAGGCTTTATTCAGCATATAAGCACAGTATAGGCTGAAATGACAAGTGAAAGTGAATTAATGGAAATGGTAGTAAAGCGTGACTTTCACTACAACCACCAGGCGTAAAAACTGCGTACTTGTACAGTGTTTATAGCTGCCACGGTTTCATACACCGGTGATTTGGGGAGGCGAGCCAGATAGCAGCGCAGTGGAGGCGGTCTCTGACATAAGAAGTCTTTGGAATGGAACGTTGGTCGCGTAGCACAGTTACCATCGATCCATGAGGAACTAAGCACTGCACAGTGCCAAAGCCGTTTTCCGATCAACTTTACTAGACTGTTTACCTAGAAATAACACGATGGGTGAAGCTTGGTTACATTAGGAATGGCTGATGACGAATTGAAACTTCGTGGTTACAACCACTTCATGCGTGACAGGAAGCAAAGCCCGCACAGAATTGTATTTTCCTACAACAATCCTAGCTTACCCAGTTTTCAAAAACTGCTCGCCGTAGGTCGTGCGGAAGGTATACCAGGAGTGGTTCGGCAACACGCTGCGTTGACTAGCCCTGAAGATGCGTGTCGATTAGCCGGTTGT